TACTGACTCCGTGATGATTGCTATGTTGACAAGAATCATTTTCACTGCATGACTGTCCGTTCGTGTTGTTGGCTGTGTGCTGATACTTTTCCAGCGTTGTTGAAAGGAACGTTTGTGAACTTCTTCGCATAAACGCCAAAAAATCGGTACCGGTAGCTTGTGTCAACTTCGTTATTTGTGTGATGGTAGTCACCATGAACTTCTATTTGTCAGAAAATATCTTTCATAAAATAGAGCGAGAGAGGTAACTGAATCTCGCGTCGGCATTATCAGTAGAACATGTTTACGTTGTGTTGTCTGCGGTACTGCTACAATGCTGTTATTACAAATTCGTATGGATTTGTGTTAACTTGCTTATCTTGAACCATGTGGAAAGCAAAAATTGGTTCACATTTTTGTGCCATCATAACAGTAAGAATATCATATCATTATTGACGTCATGGTGACATTGTTGGCTTTGACACGACAGGGTGTGGAATATGACAAACACAGCGACTTCACTGAATGAATAGATAAAGAGTTTGTATCCTACAGGTTTTAGGGAACGCGTGTCAGATGTCACGTATTTCCCTCGCAAAAACATCTGACACTCATGTGACTACATCTTCACCTTTCACTATCAGTGATTTACATGTATATAACATGTCTAATATAAACGAGGGGTGGTCGGGTAGCCCAGTGGTTAAAGGGTTCGAAGACCCGGGTTCGATTCCCGACACGGGTACAATGTGTGAAGCCCATTTCTGGTGTCCCCGCCGTGATTTTGCTGGAATATTGCTAAAAGCGGCGTAAAATCAAACTCACCAATTCACTAATATAAACGCACCCGCCTTTCATTCTGAGTAATGTATATAACATCTCCGATATATACACACCCGGATTTTATTCTGAATGATGTATATAGTATATCCGATATACACACACAAGCCTTTAACTCTGAATTATGGCTATAACATGTCCGATATACATACTCCCTCGCCTTTCATTCTGAGTGATGTATATAACATTTTCGATATACATACTCTCTCGTCATTCATCGTGAGTAATACATATAGTATATCATATATGAATACACCTTCACCTTTCATCCTGAGTGTTGTATATAACATGTTCGATAAACATGCACAACCGACTTTTATTTTGAATGATGTATATACTATACTTCTCAACTTTCATTCTGAATGATGTATATACTATAATACTTCTCACCTTTCATTCTGAATGATGAATATACTATACTTCTCTACTTTCATTCTGAATGATGTATATAATATACTTTTCACCTTTCATTCTGAGGGACCCGTGAAGATCCGGGGTAGAATAAATCTACAGCAACCCATGCTTGCCGTAAAAGGCGACTATGCTTGTCGTAAGACGCAACTAACGGGATCGGGTGGTCATGCTCGCTGACTTGGTTGAAGCATGTCATCGATCCCAATTGCGTGGATCGATGCTCATGATATCAGTCACTGGATTGTCTGGTCCAGGCTCGATTATTTACAGACCGCCGTCATAACATTTTCGATATACATACTATCTCGTCATTCATTGTGAGCAATATATATAGTATATCCTACATGAATACACCTTCACCTTTCATTATGACTGATGTATATTAACATGTTTGTTATATATTCACTACCGACTGTATTCTGAATGATGTGTCAACAATACTTCTCGCCTTTCATTCTGAGTGATCTATATAATATGTACGATATACATACTCCCTCGCCTTTCATTGTGAGTGATGTATATAACATGTTCGATATACATACTCTCTCGCTCTTCAATGTGAATAATGTATATCGTATATCCTATATGATTACACCATGCAATTTTCATTTTGAGTGATGAATATAACATATCCGATACACATACACTACCAACTTTTGTTCTAAATGATTCATATACTATAAATACCTCTCACATTTCGTTCTGCATGATGCATATACTATACTTCTCACCTTTCGTTCTGAATTCGCCTTTCATTCTGTATGATGTATAAAACATATCCGATATACATACTCCCTAGTCCCTCATTTTGTGTTATGTATATAGTGTGTCATATAGTGTATCATATAGTGTATCAAGATCACACCTTCAACTTTTACTCTGCGAGACGTATATAACATGTCCGATATATATACACTACCGACTGTTGTTCTCAGGGACGTATAAGTATATACTATACTTCTCACCTTTCATTCTGAGTGATGTATATAACATATCCGATATACATACTCTCTTGCCCTTCATTGTGAGTAATGTATATAGTATATATGGTATGATCACACCTTCAGCTTTCATTCGGAGTGATGTATATACTCTACTTCTCATCTTTCATTCTGATTGATATATATAACATGTCCGATATACATACTCCCTCGTCCTTCATTGTGTGTTATATTCATCCTTTGAATGGAGAGGACAACTGCAGAGACAACTGTCTTTGTAAATATACCAGAAGACTCTCCCCGTGTTGAGCCAACAGAGAGGCGATAAAGTCAACAGGATGTGGTTTTGGTGAGAGCACTAGCAGCAGGACCTATGGAGATAATCTTATCTCCGATGAGATACCTGGGTCTTAAGCCGTTATTGGTAACACCTTGTTTCTAAAAACGCTTCCTGCATCATGTCACATGGATGTTTAATTTTGCACCCCAAAGCCTTATTATGACAAGTGGTTTAAATGCTTTCATTCAAACTAGGAAAGTGAAATATTTCAGTTGATGTTTTAGGGATACGAAATGTTTGTGCTTGATCACACCGCACTTCTTCGGGATAACGTATAGATGTGATGGTTTCTTATTCGTATTCATTTTTGGTAAAAACTGGTCATGAAAATATTACATATTGCTTAAAATAAACATATATTTTCGTTAATTCGAGATAGGATTTTTTTATGACAGCTTACGTGTGTTTAAAATGTACGATGCTAATGTCGATTATTTAGAGGATTCTGTGTGATTTTATAATATTGTGTTTTCACTTCTATAGACAATTTCTGTATTTCGTAAACTCAAATCGTCCATGTGGTGTAGTGGATAGAGCATCTGTCCGGAGAGTGGAAGGTCGGTGGTTCGATCCCCTGACCGTGCTATACACCAACAGACGTTAAAATCTGCTACATTTTGTTATCTTACCTGGCGCTCGGCCTTAAGGTGATAAAACAAGAACTGGTCGGCTCTGAGTCAGTATAATGTGTCAAACTGTGGCACAGTATCTCGGTGGGCTAGCACAAGCATTAGCAGGGAATAATACAAGCAGCTACACATACACGTACATGTATGTCGCTACATCAGTGAGGTTAACGCGACGTCAAACCCCATTTAACCTCACTTCACCTTGACATTTCGTGTCAGATGATCCAATCGCCAAGGCCCCGATACAAATAGATAAAAGTCACATTTGATTTGTTTGTTTGTTTGTTGTTTAACGCCACAGTCAGCAATATTCCAGCTATGTGACGACGGTCCGTAAATCAATCCAGTGATTGATATCATGAGCATCAATCCACGCAATTCGGATACGATGACATGCATCAACCAAGTCAGCGAGCCTGACCACCCGATCCCGTTAGTCGCCTCTTTCGACAAGCGTAGTCGCCTTTACGGCAAGCATTGGTTGCTGAAGATTTTTTCTACCCCGGACCTTCACTGGTACGTCAGACCGCCTCCGTGGTCTTGTGGTAGAGCGTCCGCCCGGAGAGCGGAAGGTCCGGGGTTCGATCCCGGGCCGCGTCATACAAAAAGACGTTAAAAGATTGTACTTGTTGTTACCCTGTCTGGCGCTCGGCATTAAGGGGCTAAAACAAGGACTGGTCGGCTCGGAGTCAGTATACTGTGTCTGAGTGGGGTATTCATGTTAAACTGCGGCATGGTATCTCAGTGAGCTAGCACTATAAATCGGCATCAGTCCGGACTAGTACAAGCAGCCACACACACACATACACGTGCATGCACGTCGCTATATAAGTGCAATAATCTTGGACGCGACGTTAAACCCAATTTCACCTCACGGGTACGTCACATCTGAACTCGATCACCCTTCACAGTGATCTTGAATCACTTCGTATTAAACAATCCAGAACCGTGTATAGTTTGTGTTATGAGAGACTAGTTTATAGCGTGTACTAATTCCAAATGTTTATCGTAATATTGTGCGCTTATGCTTATTCCAAATATGACGCATCAGTGAACGAAATTATGTTTGATTCCTAGTTTTGGTGTTCAAGATGTTCCCGTGTTTGTTTACGTGAACACCTGACCTGCCTTTGCATGTGTTTGTGATGCGTGCCTCCAATGGACAGGAAACATTCATCTTTCGCGAAGACCTGGTATCATCATATTTAATAGTGATTAATATCGTCGGAATCGTACAATGGATTCTCTCTTTAGCAGAGATGTTTTTCTCATATCTTAACTTATGCAGATCCTGTGGGATAAAAAGGGGCCGTATCATATGTTTTCATCAACACCTGCGTTGTGAATGGTCAGTCAATGGTGTATCAAGTCTATTTCATCCACTACTAGCTTTTTTGCAATTCAATAGAGTAATCGTCATAGGGATAGATAGAATTGTGGATATTCCTCCTTGCTTAACTTCCATGGCCATGTTCATGAGTTGCCTTGTCTATAGGCTTTTGGATATTGTACGCAAAACAAAATCTTGTAAAGCTATAAATGGTGGTCTTTTTAAACACTAATAGGAAGCACGAGTAGGAAGGCAAGAAGTCAATACCAATCTAACATGAAGTGAGTGAGTGAGTGAGTGAGTGAGTGAGTGCGTGCGTGCGTGAGTGCGTGCGTGCGTGTGTGCGTGCGTGCGTGAGTGAGTGATGTTTGAATGACGCTTAAAACAGTGTTATTTCAGTTGCACATAGTCTAAGTCGAAAACGTTCTTGTTTCGGCGAATCCAACGACCACGGGTCCAAACAAAGGATCCAAAGTAGCTGTTTCAATGATGTGCGTCATGTTTGGAAACAATACAAACATTCAATGTTAACGATCACAGAACTTTATTGGTATCTTTTAACAAAACAAAGTCAACAAATAAAGATACAAGGTTAAGATGATAACAAATAAATGTGAACACCTTGTACAAGTTCGTGGGTATGGATATCCCATCTGAAAGAATAATATTTTGCATTAATTTGTTTGTTAACATATTCTGAAAATATGTGGTTACTCATCAAATGTCGATTCTGCACTGTTTGAGAAGAAAAGTGTATGTGGTCCCTGCACCTTTTAACGACTCAGAGTTCATGTGAATCGCGAACATGGTCAATGATTCATACGATCGTCAAACTCAAAGACTGGAACTCCTTACGCAGTCGGGAAGTAACACGTGACATGACGATGCAAGTTTACACTTCGTTCTATCCCGTGTTGACTCTATCTGATCATGAGTGAGGGGTGGCGGGTCGCCCAGTCGTCACCGCGCCGCGATTCGCTGTGCAGAGTTGCGTCGCTGTGTAGAGTTGCGTCCCTTGGGCACGCCAGAAACCTAGGATTGTGGGTTCGAATCCCGGTTCGCCCCGATTATGTTTCTAGGTTTGTCAGCACCATACCCGTGCTCGTGGGTTTCAACGAAGTGGTAAACGTCTGAGACCTGCATCACTTCAGGCTTCCCTCCCACATTAAGCTGACACGCCGTGATATAACTGGAATACTGTTAAAAGCGGCGTTAACCCCAACACACTCACTCACTATCTGAGTGAGTTATTGAGTTAGTGCAATGATTGCATCGCATCAGCAATTTCTCAACCAACTGGTTTAATATAAACCAAACCCCCTAAAGACTGCAGGCAAAATGGAGCATCTTGAATGACTTGATGCACGTTATGTTTCTTATACGGTATTAAGCAATATTTGTCATAGATTATGTCCATACCTCATCACTTATTTGCCAGCGTTGATGAGAGACTGTAGGAGGGCGGCGTCGGAGGAACCGCTGCTACCGCTGCTGCCGCCACCGCTGGAGATTGGGATTGGGATTGGGATGGGGTAATCTTCATCTGAGGATTCAGAAGATCCGGAACTTCCTCCGCAACAACATCCTGATGATCCGGAGGATGAAGATCCTGAAGATCCAGATGATCCCGACTCGTAGTGATGAATGTGTTTGACGGAAGTGGAGTGGCGATGGCTGTGACGATGACGATGGGCAAAACTCACTGTTACTAGCATGGCTGTAAGAAAATCGTGTTTGCATTAGAGGCGTTGGCGCAACACTAACCACATACAGATACTGTATATTTGAAGTACAGGAAATGTGATATGTTCTACCGTATTTACACACCGTTAGGGCCTACGTGTTGTAATGGTAACAATCTTGAAAATTCCCTTGTAAGCCTAATCAAAGATCATACTCAAAGGCTTTAAATATAAAACGTCTACGTCAGAGAATAATCAGTCTCGACTATCAAACGAAACACATTTCATTGTGTAAAAGGCAAAATAGCGGTGAAAATTAAACGATTGGATAACTGAAATTCAGTGATGACACCAGGTGTTCGCGAATAGAGTAGGCATGTCCTGCCCTACACACTCACACACAATTGATGATAAAATATTATGCGTCTTGATCTGGTTATTTTTAACATTGAATATGTGCTATGCTTACTTATTTTTTCAATGTTATTACTTCGGGGCAGGTTTGAATACTACATATGTTGTGGATATATGGTCCTAGTATTGATTTCTGTCCAATTAGTAATTTCTAGGTGATTTATAATTTTTTAAATAATATTCAGAATAGAGAATTCAGAAAACACACGAAATATAAAAAACTTTCAAAAATACCAGTACGCATGAAACACTTCTCCAGAGAAACATGTTTAAAATGTAAATTAGAAAATAAATAAACCTATACAATTAAAGCCATACTTACCAAGAAGCGTAAAGAAGATCGTTAATTTCATTTTGAATTCAGTCTGTTTTGAACACAGTAAGAACTGAATGAAGATAGAGAAGTGTTTGATGATGGTGTCTCCCTCGGTCACTTATATACAGTACACCACATACCAGCTGCCGTCGGGAAGAATGTCGGTGTGGTCACTATGTCCGCGTAAGTGGTAGGATTAAGTATGATTAAGGAAGAACAGCTCAATGGAGTGGGCGTGACATAATCCGGATTAGGACATAGTGTGATAAGCTCGAATGTATCACATAGTCAGCAATTTTTATATGTTTTCTTTATCAGTATTGAACATTGCTAACTTTTATCTGTTTCTTGCGACAGCCAATATGTAAAAGCTTTCATGACGTTTAATCAAATGTACGTCAATCATTGAGTGTACGAAATATGTTTGTACTTTGCGCACTTGAATGTACGCTGGATCACTGCTTTACAGTGCATGTTTGTTTTTATCAATCAATAAGGGACGTGACAATTGAACGGGAATATATTAACACCCACAAGCAGGTATTACGCTTTCGAATTCAGTTTACTATCCCTATTCCAAATGGAGTTTTTTAATACTTATATCTGTGAAATCCTTAATATGTGTTTTCCTGTCATTCGGTCAATTTATTATTGAGCAAGTAACAGTGACAAAACCGCTTCCATAAACATGTGAAATTTTGCCGAAAGCAGGGTCCGTTGTACGATTCCGATTACATTATAAGCATGTGTTTATGAATCACTACCAATTAGTGATCCTACTAGGTGTATGCAAACATCTGTACACGTCCTCCGTCAATCACGGCTGTAATAAATCTGTCGCGTTAATGGCCTCTTTTATTCTGCATTTTTGTTGTTGATTAACGACGCACTGAATAATCCAACTATTCGACTGCTGCAGTCTGTAAATAATCGAATCTGGACCATAGAAACCAGAGGCTGATATTATGAGCAACGACTCACGCCGTCGGGGTAAGATGACACGCAACCGACCAGGTTTCTGAACGTAACTCGGAATGTTTCTGTAATGTTTCCGGAAAACGGAATCCTACACTTTTTTTGCTGTGTGGGATGTCTTTTATTCCTCGTTGTGCGGTATGATGTCAATAATTTTATAATGACAATGTGGTGTAATTTCATTGATACCTATAATGACAAGCACAGTTGACATGATATGATGTGTAAAGATGTCATACAGATCTATAAGAACGCAGTGTGACATGATGTGATGTTTTAATGACACGATTGACGTATAGGGATGTCATAAGGATCCATAAGAACGCGCAGTGTGACATAACGTGATTTGAAAGGGTGTCATAAGGATCCATAAGGACGCGCAGTGTGACACGATATGACGTGTATGGGTGTCATAAGGATCCATAAGGACGCGCAGTGTGACACGATATGACGTGTATGGGTGTCATAAGGATCTATAAGAACGCGCAGTGTGACACGATATGACGTGTATGGGGGTCAAAAGGATCCATAAGGACGCGCAGTGTGACACGATATGACGTGTATGGGTGTCATAAGGATCTATAAGAACGCGCAGTGTGACACGATATGACGTGTATGGGTGTCATAAGGATCTATAAGGACGCGCATCTGTCACGAAAAACCGACACAGTGTGTTATGACGTATTGAAAATGTCACGAATACTGGTATGAATTTTCAAGACATGATTTCATCATATCTATTATTGCATGGTTCCATTTTGGCACACACTGTGTGATAGGATATCAAACGATGAAATACAAACACTGTCACACAGGGTGTGGTATGATATCATTAGGTAACGACATGTATATCTTGAGCATGTGTTTATGAATCACTATCAAATAGTAATGATACCAAGGGCTCGCGAAAAGGTGAGCGTTTCCCAAACGGTGGCACCCATCACAACAACATGCAAAGACCAGTCAATAATTCACCTGAAAAAAACACGCGAACATATGGTGCAGGTCAAAATAAGGAATTCCATTTTGGTCACTGATGCGTCCACTAAAAGCAGAGCCAATTGTACGATTCCTACTGTATCATAAGCAAGTGTTCCAGAATCGCTATCAAAAAGTAAATAACCAATGTAAATAAAGCGTACTTTTGAGAGAATAACGTCAGCAGTTATTTCAATTTTAATATTTTAATAATCGCCGCATACATTATAAAAGAGACATTTTCACTGAATTAACAGTGCACGTTAAATAAAGTGAACACAAGGTGTCACTGATTTTCAGTGATTCATTTGTATAATTTTCATAGCTATTTTGTCTTTTACGTTCAATGGAATCTGTTTCGGCAGATAACTCAGACTGATTATTATTCTCTGTCGTTGACGTTTAATATTTACGTCGCGTTCACTGTATCAATGTGTTACATGATGCGCAATGGTATCCCTTATGAGGACCTTTGCAAGGAGTTTTAACACCTCCTAACTCACTGCCATAAACTGTTTTGATGAACATTAAACAATTGGTGGGTGCTATCGCTGGATCCTGATTCGCTTCACCTGTTATCATAAATGATTTTCAGTGATCTTTTATATAATTTTCATCCGAATTTTGATTTTTACATCCTGTGGAATCCTGTTGGACTTTTGAGGCGTTGTGGAGGCACGAAGTCAACATCAATCTAACGTGAACTATGAACTATACACAGATGTAAGATGAGTGAGTGAGTGGGTGGGTGAGTGAACGAGGTAAGTTTAATGAACATTATTTCATATCACGTTGTCGTGTCAGCTTAATGAAGGACAGGCCGAAGTGATGCACGTCGTTGACCAGTTTGGTGAAATGAAATGAAATGATTTGAACCCTCGACCATGCCATTCTGACACGTCGAACGGACGTAACATCGACACGATCTTACATTCATTGTAGACGTCCAGTTATCTACTAACATGTTGTAAAATAACTGACTAAAGAGGATCGGGTGATCATGGTCAGACTCGATGACGTAGATGTTTGCGTGTTACGAGTTATTGTTCATGTTTTCTGTTTCGTATGGTTAAGTCTAAAATATGTACATGTCGTGTACAGTGCTTTGTTTTGTATGGTTAAGACTAAATTATTTACATTTCGTGTAAGTGTTCTGTTTTGTATGGTATGGAAAAGACTAAAATATTTACATTTCGTGTATTGTGCTCTGTTTTGTATGGTTAAGACTAAAACATTTACATGTCGTGTGTTGTGCTGCTTTGTATGGTCGAGACTAAAATATTTACATTTCGTGTACAGTGCTCTGTTTTGTATGGTTAAGACTAAAACATTTACACGTCGTGTGTCGTGCTGTTTTGTATGGTTAAGACTAAAACATTTACATGTCGTGTGTCGTGCTGTTTTGTATGGTTGAGACTAAAATATTTACATTTCGTTACAGTGCTCTGTTTTGTATGGTTAAGACTAAAATATTTACATTTCGTGTAAGTGTTCTGTTATGTATGGAAAAGACTAACATATTTACATTTCGTGTATTTTGCTCTGTTTTGTATGGAAAAGACTAAAATATTTACATTTCGTGTATTTTGCTCTGTTTTGTATGGTTAAGACTAAAACATTTACATGTAGAGTAGGGTATCGCTACCCTAATACTCACTTGGACGTTAACCAACATTCACTCATTGCCAACTCTGTAACAAATATATACTACTCAAAGGAATTTAAGGAACAACATATTCTTTCATGCCATGACAGATTAACTATGCAATATGAAAGAATCGGGTGTTCATTTATTATTTTGAGTAGGATATATATCCACCGGAACAGATTCCATTGGGCATGAAAGGCTAAAAAGTACAATAAAAATAGTTCACTGAAAATACGTGACAACACAAGGTGTTCGCGAAAAAGGTAAGCCTGGCCTGTCCTACCGGTAGCATGTTTGTCATGTTTGTTTCACCTTGCAATAGTCAAGTCATATGACGGACCAGACAAGCCAGAGACTTATACGACCAGCATAGGTTGCGGGTTGCCAGGTCCAACAAAGAGTCGTGATGACAAGGACTCATATCTGCGGCCGCCAGAAGACTGGCCATAAAAGACATTACACAGTCTCTTTTTATAGTGTTAATCCATTTATTAAGGAAAACATTAACAATAACAACAAATGATGGCTACAAAGAGCTGACGCAGGATCGTAACAGGTATTTGCTATCTGAAAGAGAATAATGGAAATTGTAAATTAAGCTACAAAACTTTCTATAATCATAAAAATACGCTGCTAAAACGATAGTTCATTGTAAAATTCTCACTAAATTAACATTTTTCGAACTAAGAACACATTAACATATTGTATATAGTTTGCTTTAAGATGAAATGTCCAAGTCTTGTTCAACAAGCACATTTTACAGATCTTTATCCATTGCTTCAACGCGCAAAGGTGACAGAAAATAGAATCGAAATTATCTTTAAGATTTCTTACCGATTCATTTATTTGCCAGCGTTGATGAGAGCCTGTAGGAGGGCGGCGTCGGAGGAACCGCTGCTACCGCTGCTGCCGCCACCGCTGGAGATTGGGATTGGGATTGGGATGGGGTAATCTTCATCTGAGGATTCAGAAGATCCGGAACTTCCTCCGCAACAACATCCTGATGATCCGGAGGATGAAGATCCTGAAGATCCAGATGATCCCGACTCGTAGTGATGGATGTGTTTGACGGAGGAGGAGTGATGATGGTGGTGATGATGGCGGTGGCGGTGAGAAACGGTCACTGCTACCATCATGGCTGTTGAAAAAAGAAATTCACAAATTTCAACATCAAAGGAATTTACTACCACCTGGTTGGTTCTATGCTATGTCTTGGCATTGTAGTGAGTGTCCCTCGCGAACCAGAGTCGTCATCTGTCACAAGGCAAATAACGTCTAGATTCATAGTAGGCATAACGCTTCTTTGAGATAGCAGATAAACAATGATTGTGGTTTTTGAGTGGTATTGAGTAAGAAGTCGGCTTTGAAAAGACACATATACTACTAGTATTCATAAGAACCCATTGTATGATTCCGACTGTATCAATTTTATGATGAAGAATAATTAGCTTATATTAGTTACAGCGATTCTGAGCAAGGCACAATATACAACGTCTAGATCTATATTGAAAACATGACAATGGAGCAGCATCCCTACTTAACGTTAAGACATCTAAGCAATGGAAATAATGCTTAGGTATTAAAAACAAATACAAAAAAGTTGAGGCAGAAATAACACCGAAATAAAAAATATCAACAAAACTATGAATGTAAGACAAGGTCAAAACGTATCACGACGTATTTTGTAATAAATTGTAAATAAACTTACCGAGAAAAACCAAAACTGTTTTAAGATTCATTTTATCTCTCTTCTTCTTAGAAGGCAGGTGAAAAAACAAGGGATGAATGATGAAAAAACTGTAGAAAAAATCCCTTTTATAGCATTGATACGGGAAATGAATATATCAGTGTGACGCGATATGAAGGTATGTAGATGCCCTTAACGAGGAAATGTAGCGTGTTTTTTCTCCGTTTGACGTGCTTCTTTCAAGCTGACACAGGAATCTGGACAATCTCTTGCTACTTACACGAAATACCTTCGCTTCATGACATGGATAACGCAAACTTGATTCTGTACATACATGTTCAACAGGGGCAACGTGTAACAATACATCATAATGTTTTCATGCAATTGTTGATGACATATAAAATGAAAACCGTTTGATACTAAATGTATATAACAATAACTACGTGTTAGTCTGTTGGTATATATGTGCATGTCAACAGTGAAAACAAAATATTAAATCTCATTTATAATGCGTAGTTGCCGCATATTTCCATTTTTCTTTACTGTGTATTAGTTTTTTGAATGTTGAAAATATTTGTTCAGCATGTTTTGCAATGGTTTACACGTAGCTTTCTACGGAAACGGACGCAGATTACAAACATAACTTCCTACCCAGTGTTGCCACGTGTGTCTTCATTAAAGGAAAACTTGGTATAAAATCACCACAGTTCGTCGAGTCAGTAGTAAACAATTGAATATTGCGTGACGTTTCACTACAAACTCCTTCACAATGAATGCAGTTCTGATATCACTGTTCGTTATCGGTGAGTAGACAAACTAATTATACATGTACCTTCGTTGACTGACATTAATGTTGAGTATCGTCTAATAGATACATTTAGCGCTTGTGCTGTGGGTAGAAAGGTTTTGATTTTAATCTATATTTTAATTAATTTTAATTTTGTTGTCATACCATTTGTATTTGTTGTATTTGTTTATAGAAATTCACGCATAATTGTCTGTGAATGTGTTATAACGAATATTTCAATCGACTCTTGATGTGGTGCGTTTTCTGCCGTATTGGAATATGAGGCAAACATTGATCTTCTGTAAATATGGTGTAACGCCATTGGCGCACAACTCGTCCCTGGTGTTGCCTAGTCCACACCAATCTTTGCCGCCCATTAGCTGTTAGGTTCACACCCTTCACAGGACGCCTTGCTTTCAGACGGGCTGCATAGAGCCGGTTATTGATGGTAAAAGTTGAAATTCGCCTTCCTCTTATTGTACGGAATTCTCTATTGATAATCTATGTATTAGGCGCACATACTTTGGTTTGTGTGCGCACGTGCATCACCTGCTGTTCATGCATGATGTGAAATTTCATTGTGATTAGAGTTGCGTTCAGATGCAACGCGACGGTATTGTAAATGTACACCTCTAAGATTCCTACATTCAAATAATTAGTGCCCTTTTTTTTGTCGGGCACTTTATATATGTTAAATGTCTTCACAGTTATTTTAATCTTTACATTATCCATGAAAAAGAGAGCAAATAGGAAAAGAGACGATAAAAGGAAAGTATCTTTATCTGTGATAGTTTATTGATATTCTATGGGCTCTGTGGTATCCGCTTTTACTGTTACTTATCGACCTTTTTTCCCGCGAATTGTACAAAACATAATGAAACGACCAATTAAACCAATTCGCCGCCTAACAGTAATTAATACTAATTACAATGCGTTATCTACGGCACTTAGGAACAGTTTTTCAGTTAGAGACCCGTGAAGGTCCGGGGTAGGATAGGTCTTCAGTAACCCATGCTTGACGTAAAAGGCGACTATGCTTGTGACAAGAGACGACTAACGGGATCTGGTGGTCAGGCTCGCTGACTTGGTTGATGCATGTCATCGGATCCCAACTGCATGGATCGATGCTCATGATGTCACTGGATTGTCTGGTCCTCACTTATTTTTCAGCGCACCGACATATAGCTGGAATATTGCTGGAACTTTCAGTTAGATCACGTCGTGTCACCTTGATTTGGTAGGAAAGCCCGAAGTGATGCAGGTCTTAGACGTTTCCAACTTTTGTGAAACAAAGAGCAAGGGAATGTCTGTTTGTTTGCTGGCAAACCTAGAAGGTCTAGTCTTGGATTCGAACCCACAATCATTGGTTTTGAGCACGCCTAAAGAAGGAATTCTGGCGTTTTAAACGACTAGCGCATACATTAATTGTAACTGCGCCAATGTCATAAGGCCGTGAACGCGTTTCATCGTCTTTACAATGTTGTTTCAGTTTTGCTGGTGGTCGTCTCGATGGCGACTCTGCAGCAGTATGGTGACGGAGAGCCAGTGGAGGTGGAAATAAGGTATGACGAACCATCTCTCCCATCACCACCTTCATCGGGATGCTCAGGTTGAGTCAAGGAAAACTGTTGGTAAGGCAACTCTCTCTCTCTCTCTCTCTCTCTCTCTCTCGCTCTCTCTCTCTCTCTCTCTCTCTCTCTCTCTCTCTCTCTCTCTCTCTCTCTTACGACAAGCATGGGTTGCTGAAGACCAATTTTAACCCGGATCCTCACGGGTCTGTATGTGTGTGTGCATGTGTGTGTGTGTGCGTATATGTGTATGCGTGCGTGCGTGCGTGCGTGTGTGAGGGGGGATGGTCCAGTTATATAATTGCGCCTGTCAACAATTGAATCTGAAAACAGTGGTTGATATTATGAGCAACGTCCCGTGCCGTCTCGCTACGGTACGACGACACGCAAACGTCCAAGTTACCGGTACAGAGCCTGACCTCCGATCATTAATCATAGGTAACTGTGGACTAATAATCATATTACGGTATCACCACGGAGTGAATGACTTATTAATGAGCATGAATATGCAATATCAACACATATATGCATTGTGTCGAAACATTTACAAAATTGATAAAACGTTTTGTCGTTAAATGTTCGCAGATTAAGAACTCCAATCATCTTAAGATGTGGCAGAAAACGAGAAACAAAAAAATCTTTGTTTTTGTCTTACATTTGCGTGTAGTTTGACACATTTGAAAATCTGTCAAACAAATGGTTAATGTTCAAGTTCGATTCGCAGAATATGTTCACAAACTTTCGTGATCTTCAGTGGCGATGTCAATAGTAACGAACAGGATCTGAGACGCTGCTACTCTTTTGTTGAAAATGTATTAAACAATGTTCAGCTATTTAACTAACATTTTACTGCTTCGTTTCAGATGTCGGACGTCCCCAAGGATTTCGGACCCGATGTTTATATGTATGATATGTTAATGTGTTGTTCTCTTATGTAATAAAATTATTTGTACAGAAACCGTTTTGGTCGTATCTTACTGGAGTCTTACATCAGCTTTTAATAGTGTGATTAGATGTGTCTTTTTTGTTTGTTGTGTAACGCTATGACGCACTCAGTAATATTCCAGCTATGTAAATAATTTAGTCTGGACCAGACAATCCTGTGATTGACATGATGAGCATCGATCTACGCAATCGGTACACAGCGGGCATGACGACCCGATCCCGTTAGTCGAACTGTGATTAGAAGACACAATAAGTCAAATAGTACGAATATTCTGCGTGAAAGGATTTCTTAATAATAACTGTACATTAATGCAATTTGGATGTTTTAACAATTTTGAATAAGCTGATTCGATAGCAAAAAAATACTTCAAAAGATAAAAATTATATCGTACATTTGTCACATTTTGTAAAGATTGGTCCGTTAACCAAATAATAAACAAAACGATTTTTACGAATTAAGAATATCAAAACAATCTTGAAATACCATGTGAAAGTAGGGGTTTAAAGTCGCTTGAAGTATTTCTGTTATTTAGTGTGTCAGCTTCTTGTGTGAGGAAAACCGCATGTTTCGTCTAAGACACCTATCCATGAGCATAAGTATGGCTGTGACACACATACAAGATTATTATCGGGGTTAATCTTAAATTCAGATCTTTGACGCGGACCCTCGTAACTAAGGGGCGCAACTCTATACGGCGTTATGGTAGCGGAGTACCTCTAAGACCTCGCGTATCACTTAGTGAAGAGCAGTCATTGGTTTGAGTTTAACCCTGTTAAGTGGAAGTATCTGACAGTAAATACTTAAAACCATTAAAAAAAATCTGGATCAACGATGGAAACTGTCAGTCACGTGACACGAACTTGTGAGTGAGCGAGTTTTTAACGCCGCTATGAACAGTTTTAATACAGTTATACAGCGGAACTTTGGTAAATTGTCTTGACCAAATACCAAGTACATGTACCCTATTGAACATTCCTTTTGGAGATGACATATAATCATACCGTATTTTACACTGGAAGAAATGTTTACCTTTACTAACTTGTAAATTGATGTAAATATCATCTTTTCGAAGATAAACAATCGTTAAAATATGACATATTTACAATCATAAACCCTCATCTGTCTAAATTTGCAAAACGTAAATTTATGTCCACATCTGAGTACCTTTACGTAAATTTATGTCCACATTTGAGTACCTTTACGTAAATATATGTCTACAGTTGAGTACCTTCGCGTAAATTTATGTCCACAATTAAGTACCTTTACGTAAATTTATGTCCACAATTAAGTACCTTTACGTAAATTTATGTCCACATTTGAGTACCTTTACGTAAATCTATGTCCACATTTGAGTACCTTTACGTAAATCTATGTCCACATTTGAGTACCTTTACGTAAATCTATGTCTACATTTGAGTAGCTTTACGTAAATCTAGGTCTACATTTGAGTACCTTTACGTAAATTTATGTCCACATCTGAGTACCTTTACGTAAATTTATGTCCACATTGGAGTACCTTTACGTAAATTTATGTCCACAGTTAAGTACCTTTACGTAAATTTATGTCCACATTTGAGTACCTTTACGTAAATCTATGTCCACATTTGAGTACCTTTACGTAAATCTATGTCTACATTTGAGTACCTTTACGTAAATATATGTCCACAATTAAGTACCTTTACGAAAGCTGTGTCCACATTTGAGTACCTTTACGTAAATTTGCAATAATTATGGAGGTAAATGCTATAAAAAATGACCCTAAATAAACTGTGATTGGTTGTAAAACGTAGTAAAAATATTGATAAATTCGAAGCCAATATTTCTTTCTTTTGCCTTTTTGTCAGTTCCCAATGTAAGTAATGGCGCGGTATGGGGAAAAGATATATGTTATTATGTACAATTTAGTGTGATTAGGCTTTCGTCATGACAAGAATGAGATGACGTCACTCGCACAAATTGTTACGGCAGTCAGGGTGTGCGAAATCGGAATGGTTTATGAATACAATGTCGTAATTATAAACGACATTAGCATGACAATTGTGAATGAACGCCTGGTGCATCACTGCTATTAACCAAGGAAGGACTTATATTCACAGAGAGTACTTGAGAATAGATAAATTATTACCATGTTGATTCTCAAAGGATTTTCCTGATTTTTTTTTATCTCAGAGAAGAAGCAAGTTAAATTAAGTCTTTGAAAGGCATTTAGAAGTGCTACACATAAGGAAGAGAATTTATGGATGTATATGCCTACTCCATCAGGTGGACATCATAAGCACAGATCTCGGGAATTGGCTGGTTGGTTGGTTTGTTGTTTAACGCCGCACTCAGAAATATTCCAGCTATATGACGGCGGTTTGTAAATAATTGAGTCTGGAACAGACAATCTAGTGATTAACATCATAAGCATAGATCTCGGCAATTTGAATACGATTACATGCATCCACCAAGTCAGCGAGCCTGACCCCGATCCCGTTAGTCGTCTCTTACGACAAGCATGGTATTCTAAACCGTATCTTCGCTTGTACAGCTACGTTACTCTATTAGTGGAACGACTTCACATAAAACTGTCATGACGTCATGATCAATGGATCACTTCATCTTCATTTATTTGAGACAATGAGTTGTGCTGTGGGACTCTTCGCAAACAATAAACACAGTGGAACAACTCTTGTAAGTAAACGCTCGGTGAGAATTACTGAAAATAACGTCATTAGTATCCCTGTCTCTATGGGTATGGTTTATATTTGTTAGTTTGAAAGTACAAGACGATCTAAGGTCAAGACAACTAAGGCGTACAGGCGTAAGCACCCATCTGAGGGTTCAAAGGTGTGCATTCGTCTCAACTCGCAATCTTCTGTAACCTACCCGAAGAATTGCGCCCAATCAAACAATACCGTGTACGAAAATACGACAAACCAATCAGAATGCGCGTATCATCATAAAAAGCGACAGTCACAATTATTTCACCATACTGATGTGGTATTTGCTGCCCGTTTGCGCGAAACCTGAACCAAGCTGATAAAATGGTCACTAGAGGGACTTGAGTCGCCTTTCGGTTGGTTCCGGAATGACACGAGTGGTCACAAATGCTTGACTATGAAGAACAGATTAAGTCATGACAATTTGAACGCAAGGTTATGGAAGCATACTAGTGCTACAGTCTACAACAATATCATCTTCGAAGATTTCAGTATCATCTACGTAGACGAAAGTATCACCAACGTAGATGAAAGCATTTTTTAGACTGTGGCTCCAATACGCTTTCATACTAAGTCCCACATATCAGTGCATGCAATATGAAGCAAGTACGATACGAGGTTGGACAACTTCATTATAATACATACAAGTAGGTGGGAAAGTAATTTATTTGTAATAATTATGTTGGAAATTTAGAATAAAACAATCAAATGAAAGTGCTGAAAGTGCTAAATGAAAAAATGCAGATAATAAACAATAAATTGTCTGTGCACATACAAAGATTCCGGGATAGAATAGGTCTTCAGCAACCCACACTTGCCGTAAAAGGCGACTATGCTTGTCGTAAAAGGCGACTAACGGGATTTACGATCAGGTTCGCTGACTTGGTTGATGCATGTCATCGATCCCAATTGCGTGGATCGATGCTCATGATGTCAATCACTGGATTGTCTGGTCTAGACTCGATTATTTTACAGACCGCCGTCATATAGCTGGAATACTGCTGAGTGCGGCGTTAATAAAAAAACAAACAAAACAAAACTGTGCACATACACATACTGATTGAGGCGTCACTTTGTCTGCTTAAACATTGACAACGGTCAAACGACAAGGGGGTTTGCTTGTATATCAGCGCATGGTACAATTGTAACTGGTCATAGAGAAACATTGCCAAACAAAATATGCTTAAAGAGAATCATCAATAATGATAATAATATAATTAGTTAAATAAAGCGACGAAACCCTTTCTATATCCAATGGAAATCTCTGTAAAAAGCAGAGTCAATTGTACGATACCGACTATCATGAGCATTTGTTTATGAATCACTATCAAATAGTAATGATAACAGGTGTTCGCGAAAAGGTGAGCGTATCTTGCCCCATCGGTGGCACCCGTCACAAACACATGCAGAGGCAAGTCAATATCATCCCACAAATGTAGCCTTCGACTATTGCAACATCCGTATGTATACTGGACTATGAACAAACTATAGCAGCAGTGTTAAATAGCTGTTGAAATCTTACAACATAACCTTGAACATATCTTGGACATAAACATGGAAATATAAGGGATATAAAGAATCTATATAAATCTTAGAGACAAACTATAGATTCGAAGTATTATTGTACACCCATGATAACATACTTGGCATGTGCAAACAATAGAAATATGAATACCTAACCATGAAAATATCTTGGACATACACAAACTCTTAAAACCTTACAATTAGACCATGAAAATATACTGGGGCATAGACAAGTTACAGAAACATTACAACATAACCATGAAAAAAGTACTTGAACCCATCAAAAACGTTTGAACACAATCATGTTCACTCATAACAAATGCGAATATTTATGTTCCTAATCGTTTTTATAGGGATACCACATGAAACGGTGAAAAGAAAATTATTATAAAAATGCAGAGAACACGAAGCAACTAATAGGATTAAACAGTAGGTTCTGATAATACAGTAATTATATGAAACAAATTTACAAACGCCCACACTAGGTGAGACGACCGTACATCTCACAAGCCTGCTGCAACATGGACATCCCCAGCTGGAGGTTGAGAAGACTGTGGAGAGTCCTGTAACTCCGAGGTGTCCCCCGCTGGGTCTGTTACATAGAGATGCTTGTGGACATTGTTATCCGCAGGGAGTCCAGAGTAAAAAATGACACAACAGGGTCATGGGGCTTTAAAGCATATAAAATAATACCTTTCTCAAGTGTATGTTCAGAATTCTGTTGCATTCAACGGAGAAGCAAGAAGGGAAAAATGAACAAACTCATTCTTGTTAGTTTCTTGCTGGCTGGTAGGTTGATTTGATGTCAGATTGCACTTAATATTACTTTTTAATATTCATTTTTATGTTAATATCTAAAATCTTTTCAGGCTTAAGGGATTGTTTTGTTGTTGTTGTTGTTGTTGTTGTTGTTGTTGTTGTTTAGCATGTTGTCGACGTAAGGGGATGATGTATAACGTCATCTCGATTTCTGTCTGAGTAAATGTTGTTTAACGCCGCCGAAACAGCTATTTCACGGCAATGAGCCTGTTCACCTGATCCGATTTGGTCGACTCTTACAACACGCATAGTATACTTGGAACTAGTTTTTCGCCATACTCCCCGGGGTTGTCGGGTTGGAGAACTGGTATTTACATTGGGTATCACTGGACGTGGTGAATTTTATCATTTTGAAGTAGAGAGAACGCTTAGAGTTATTCTTGACAGCAGTCAACAAATGTATTATAGAAGTTTGATGTACATGAAACCTTATTAATCCAGACGGCACAGTTGCTTGTGTCATTATCTTGAAAAACAAACCGGATTAATGAATCATAGCTATCGGAGTGTTTTCCTGTTTTTATTCACGGGTATATATCAACGTGTGTCCCATATGTAAAAAGCATTCAATACAGTAAACTACGTTTATTACGAACTCGTTTATAACCAAGTGCCGGCCGTAAATAATTGAAGACAAGTGATTAGATGAATTAAGTACTGACACCTTGTCCTCAATTTACACCCTCAATTAACAATAGTAAAACAGTGATTACTCTATAGCTGTTGAAATGGATATATTCTGTCTATAAAATGTGACGACTAGCGTGAGGAAATTCTGTACGTCTGACAGTCAAAAATGCTTATAACGAACTGCGTATTTACTAACTTAAATTAGGTGCCTTTAAACTCGTTATAACCGTATTTTACTGTATTTGAAAATAACATATTCTTTCAATCAAATTTCAGCCCTGGTGGCAGTTATTTACGCCCATCACCATCACCACCACCGGCATCACCGGCACCACCATCACCGACATCATCACCATGGACATCACCGTCACGGACACCACCATCACCGACATCGGCATCACGGACATCACCATCATCACCATGGGCACCGTCACCATGGACACCGACATGGAGGACATTCTCACGAGGTTCACCACCACCATCACCATCATCACCACCACAGCAGCGGTGGCAGCAGCAGCGGTAGCAGTGGCAGCAGCGACAGCAGCAGTAGCAGTGAGAGTGAGAGCGAGAGCTCCAGCAGCAGCGAGGAGATCATCGTCCACCACCATCACTCCTCCGGTGGGTCTTCTTCCTCAGGGTCATCCGGTTCTTCTGGCTGCTCTAGCTGCGGAGGATCATCTGAGTCGTCATCCTCTTCATCCGAGGACTACCCCATCCCCATCCCCGTGCCCATCTCACACGGCGGCGGCGGCAGTCACAGCCACACCAACTACCTCCCCATCGTCCTCACAACAGGCGGATAATATGTTCTCGTAAGTTTCTACATCAATCACAACTATTACTACTACTACTACTACTACTACTACTACTACTACTACTACTACTACTACTACTACTACTTTAACAGTCCCTGGATGTTCCTGTCGCTTCATTGCTGTGTATACCTTCATACCAAACTCGTAAAAAGTAACTCTGTAGGAACCCTTCTTTTATTACTCTACACTTTTACCAGATAGTAAAATTTCCTTTGATCAATTATTGTCCACAGTCTCAACGTGACATCAAGGTTGCGGTCAACGTCACAAGTCGGAGCATGTTCATGTCGAGTTGGTCAATATGTTACTGTTCATTTATGTTAAGTATCCGGGAAATGGATGCACTCTCTGTTGCTGGTTATGTTATGGATTAAAATAAAGTGATATAAACTCTTGGGCTAGTGTTTTTTTATGTTATAGTCGCTTCGTTAATTTTCACTGAGGTGCCAAGTATATTATTGTATAAGTATATTACGTACTTATACTGCATGATGAATGCCAAGAGCCTTTGTCTGTTTTATTTTGAGTGAATGAGTATTGTTTCACGCAGACAATGGAACTATTATACTGAAGGCAATTAATTGAATTGCAACTAATTGAGTGTGTGAGTGAGTGAGTATGGCTTTACGCCGCTTTTAGCAGTATTCCAGCAATTTCACAGCGGGGAAACCAGAAATGGGTTTCACACATTGTATCCATGTTGGGACTCAAACTCGGGCCTTCGGCGTGACGAGTGAACTATTTAACCACTGGTCCACCCCAACGCTCGACCTGTTTTAGAAAACTACTATTTCCTCAAGGGGACTTTTTCCATTGTCTAGTGCCCATTTTCAGTTTACATCATAAGTTCTTCACCGGTCTCCAGAACAACATGGTTTGATGTAACATGAACTAAAATAAAGGGCACATCAACCCATGTCACTCTAGGACCGGTGGGGCACACAGGGTAGATGATACTATATATTCAAAATGGACCGGTTGTTGGTGTCAACTTTGAGGTACAATCGAGCATGCTCTTACTACCAAGAGCGTCACTCAACTCTTGCTCAGAAGTTGTTTGATCAATGTTACGACATTCAAGGCCTCTCAGCAAAGCTTTCAAAACGTCTTGTGGGAGACATTTTCAAGTTTGGCGCATCAGACACATGGAATGATCAGCTATTTACCTGACATGGTGACACGCAGGGCAGTGATAGGCTTATTGCCTGACACAGTAGCAAGCAAGGCAATGATAGGCTTATTGCCTGACATAGTAACACACAAGGCAATGATAGGTTTATTGCCTGAATAAGTGACACACAGGGCAATGATAGGCTTATTGCCTGACATAGTAACACACAGGGCAATGATAGGCTTATTGCCTGACATAGTAACACACAGGACAATGATCGGCTTATTGCCTGACATAGTAACACACAGGGCAATGATAGGCTTATTGCCTGAATTAGTGACACAGGGCAGTGATAGGCTTATTGCCTGAATTAGTGACACAGGGCAGTGATAGGCTTATTGCCTGACACAGTAGCACGCAAGGCAATGATCTGCTTATTGCCTGGCCTAGTAACACACAGGGCAGTGATAGGCTTATTGCCTGACATAGTAACAAGCAAGGCAATGATCGGCTTATTGCCTGGCATAGTAACACACAGGGCAATGATAGACTTATTGCCTTGTATAGTAACACACTTGGTTATGATCAGCTTATTGCCTGACATAATAACACACTTGGCAATGATAGACTTATTGACTAACATAATAACACACAGGTCAATGATAGACTGATTGCCTGACATAGTAACACACAGGTCAATGATAGACTTATTGCCTGACATAGTAACACATAGGGCAATGATAGACTTATTGCCTGACATAGTAACACACTTGGTTATGATCTGCATATTGCCTGACATAGTAACACACGGGGCAATGATCTACTTATTGCCTGACATAGTAACACACAGGGCAATGGTAGGCTTATTGCCTGACATAGTAACATACAGATCAGTGATAGGCTTATTGCCTGACATAGTGACACACAGGACAATGATAGGCTTATTGCCTGACATAGTAACACACAGGACAATGATCTGCTTATTGCCTGACATAGTAACACACAGGGCATTGATAGACTTATTGTCTGACATGGTAACATACATGGCAATGATAGACTTATTGCCTGACATAGTAACACACAGGGCAATGATAGGTTTATTGCCTGAAATAGTAACACACAGGGCGATAATAGGCTTACTGCCTGACAAAGTAACATGTATGGCAATGATCTGCTTCTTGCCTGACATAATAACATGTATGGCAATGATAGTCTTATTGCCTGACATAGTAACAGATAGAGCAATGATCGGCTTATTGCCTGGAATATTATCTTACCTGGTAATGATCTGCTTATTGCTTGACATAGTAACATAGAGCAATGATAGGCTTTTTGCCTGACAAAGTAACATATAGTGCAATGATCGGCTTATTGCTTGACATAGTAACACATAGAGGAATGCTAGGCTTATTGCCTGACATAGTAACACACAGGACAAAGATCGGTTTATTGCCTGAAATAGTAACACACAGGGCAATGATAGGCTTATTGCCTGACATAGTAACACACAGGACAATGATAGGCTTATTGCCTGACATAGTAACACACAGGGCAATGATAGGCTGATTGCCTGACATAGTAACACACAGGACAATGATAGGCTTATTGCCTGACATAGAAACACACGTGGTAATGATAGGCTGATTGCCTGACATAGTAACACACAGGGCAATAATAGGCTTATTGCCTGACATAGTTACACACAGGGCAATGGTAGACTTATTGCCTGACATAGTAACACATAGGGCAATGATAGGCTTATTGCCTGACATAGTAACACATAGGGCAATGATAGGCTTATTGCTTGACATAGTTACATACATGGCAATGATAGACTTATTGCCTGACATAGTTACATACATGGCGATGATAGACTTATTGTCTGACACTGTAACACACATGGTAATGATCTGCTTATTGCCTGACATAGAAACACACGTGGTAATGATCTGCTTATTGCCTGACATAGTAACACACAGGGCAATAATAGGCTTATTGCCTGACATAGTTACACATAGGGCAATGATCTGCTTATTGCCTGACATAGTAACACATAGGGCAATGATAGGCTTAGTGCCTGACACACAGGGCAATGATAGGCTGATTGCCTGGCATCGTAACACACAGGGCAATGATAGGCTTATTACATGACATAGTTACATACATGGCAATGATAGACTTATTGCCTGACATAGTTACATACATGGCGATGATAGACTTATTGTCTGACACTGTAACACACATGGTAATGATCTGCTTATTGCCTGACATAGAAACACACGTGGTAATGATCTGCTTATTGCCTGGCATAGAAACACACTTGGTAATGATCAGCTTATTGCCTGACATAGAAACACACGTGGTAATGATCAGCTTATTGCCTGACATAGAAACACACATGGCAATGATCTGCTTATTGCCTGACATAGTAACACACATGGTAATGATCTGCTTATTGCCTGACATAGAAACACACGTGGTAATGATCAGCTTATTGCCTGACATAGAAACACACATGCTATTGATCGGCACTTGATGTTTCTCATAACATCGTTCCTTTTGGTGACATAAATGAGGACTTGTTGAGGAACACTTTTTACCACTTGCGTGGTATCCTCACAATTACATATTTACCAAATATAATCATGGAACCAATATGAATTACATCAAATACTCGTACGACAACCTACTCGTACGACAATGATAGTATTTGTACACTTACAGCTATTATCAACTTTGTACTGCTCACAAAAGAGAGTTCCATACATTGAATATTTTTTAAAACACAAAACAGTCATATATAAGATAGGTTTGGTTTCATAAACATGGTGATTTAAAGAATATTACTGTCTCATTTCGCAGTTTTACTGGGATAGATAGTTTGCTGCATGTAAAGATATAAATGACGTGTGATTTGTTTCATTCGAATATTTAAAGTGTATCATATGGCTGACCATACATGTATGTAGTAATCAATTTATATTTGAATAAAAAAAACTTCTGCAGCCTTTCCCATATCATTTTCTGAGACAGTCTCGTAATTGACGTTGACGCCGGACTTTATTTTCAAACCAGGGTTTTTCAGACGGAAGGTCATGCGTGGTATACATGTACACAACTGACGAATAAAAATACTACAAATCATAGTTTGTTTGTTTGTTATTCTAGCTATATGACGGCGGTCTGTAAATGATCAAGTCTGGACCAGACAATCCAGTGATTGACAGCATTTGCTTCGATCAACGCAATTGGATACGATGACATGCATCAACCAATTCAGTGGAAATTACTGAGATACATTATAAAAGATGGAGAAAAGACAACATGTATTCCCCCGCTTTATACCGATGCTAGCTCGGATAGGCCTTTAGCATTCATTGACAGTTACGAGGTTTATGTTCGTGATGATTATTTTGTTTCTAGAAGTATTGTCGAAGCAAATACTTATCCTTTACCTCCCTTTTGAACAGCGTTGTGAAACCTTCCTCACTAATATCATCACACAAGAGCAAGACATCAGAGATCTTATCTCTTGACGACGTGGTAAATCCAGTGGTTCTGATAACATTAAACAAAGATTGTAAAAGCCGCTAACAGATACACGTACAACACCATGATGTATTATCTTCAATAAATCTCGAAATTGCTCCACATTTCCGTTTGACTGGAAATTAGTTCACGTCATGCCATTGTATAACAAAGGAGAGAAATCCATTCCCTTGAATTATGGACCAAAAAGCTTATTATTCATACTAAGGAAGCTATTGGAGAGACTTGTTTTGAAACATTTACACAACCATGTTCATATAAAACAGCTTTTATCTTCGTTCCAATTCGAATTTGTTCCGGGACACGCTACTGTCTTATAATTACTTGAAATTTATAATAACGTTATTTTAACTGGCGACAAGCACGAATGCTATTACATGATATTCTGGGATGTCTCTAAAGCGTTTGATAGGATTTTGCATAGAGGCTAACTATAAACAATTAAAAACTATGGTATTAATGACTAATTCATTTCATGGTAAACGATTACAATTCTAGACGGAAACGAACAGTATTTGTAAATGGTTGCCTGTTATCGTCGAAATACACCTCAGTTGGGGTACCCCAAGGTTCTGTAGTAGGTCCTTCTGTGTACATGTATGACGTCATTCTATTTAAAACACACATTAAACATAATTTGAGAATATGTTTTGTGCTTCATGGAAAGATAAAAATATGACTCCTATCAAAAGTTGAGTAATATGCATAAAACCTAAAAAGCAATGCATTCATGCATCCAACTTTCTTAGTTGAACAGTGTCATTCGCTTAAAAAATAACATAAAAAGTTTGGTTTAAAAAAGATTAACATTTAAAGACCATTTGTCAAAGTAGCGTTCTAACAATATAACTAGTCAAGTCCTAGAAGATGACACTATCATCTTCAAACATCAGCAGAAATATTTCAAGTACTCCAGGAAACACTGGTATGCTATTTGTAGATGAGGATGTGATTATCATAAACCAATGATTATTCATTTACGAAGAACGATAAGAAAAAAGGACTCAAAACACAGCTTTAACGTACACCAAATGGACCATCAAAATTAATCTGTAAATATGTTGTTAGATGTACGTATTCATGCGTTGACATTTCCATGTCCAAATTTACAAAAGGGTCTCCATCATTGTGCAAATGTGAGGAACCCGGATCTGTGGCGTGATGAGACAACGTTTTAATCAATGGCACGCCCAACAACCCGGTCACGTAAGGAAATCATATAACGTTAATTGTCCTGAAATAGGTACTAAACATTTCGATATTATTTCGCCAGGGAAGAAATGTCAATAAGAAAAATATCAATGATTATCGTATTTTCGTGATACGTTGTAAAGTGATGCCGGTGAGATATGTGCTATAACAAGATATGTTGATTTGGTTAACACATCAAATCATACCTCTCCATTCTTATCTTTGAACGAGAGAAAGTGATTCAGATGAAAGAGCGTTTCTTCGTTTCATAACTTCGTCCATCGAATACGTCCAACAATGATGATATAACATCTTCTGTCATCAAGGTGATCAGGGCCTCCCGTCAGGATTCAGGTGATGCCAGCATGACCAGACAGGTTTACCGCAGCGATGTACACACACACACCAGGGAAGATACGGCGTAGTTTATTTTTACAATTAACCACCATGTGGGGGTGAGGCATTGATATTGGTATATAAATGGAAAAAAACAAAACACTACAACATTCACCTCTACATTCTGATACCAGCAGAAGATGAACAAAGCAATCCTTGTGGCCTTTGTGTTTGCGGGTGTGTATTGTTGATAGTTTTATAGTTGTATAGGTTACAAAATTCAAGTCCTCAGTAAAGCTTTCAAAAGGTTTTTTAGTTAGGCATGTGGAGAACATTTCCAAATTTGACGCATTAGTGACAAACATTATGTCCGATGCAGCTCCCTATTTGTTCCCGTGTTTTGTCAGGTGAACATTTGACTTGCCTTCGCATGTGTTTGTGACGGGTGCCACCGGAGGGACAGGATGCCCTCACCTTTTTGCGAACACCTGGTATCATCACTATTTGATAGTGATTCATAAACACATGCTCATGATAATTATTATAGTCGGACTCGTTCAATCGATTCTGGTTTTCGAAGAGATTTCTTAAGAAGATGGAAAGGGTATTGTCGCGTATTTTCTGCTAACATTGACAATTTTATGTCATCTTAGGGCTTTCTGATTGACTGTTTCAACCTGCAATACCCCCGAAAGAGCTTTGTCGCTTTTATGTATATTATTATTTATTGTCCAGTATTTATTTCGCGTGATTGAGTTGGGCCACACTAATTCATTTATATCATGGTGTGTCATATGATGTGTGACCAATGTGAATCTGACGAGCTATTTACAAGCTGAATGTTAACACATATTTGTTGACGCCCGTTCCAGAAATATAATGAGAACAGTTAGGAATTTAATCCCAAAGTGCATAGAACACATTTTACTCAAAAGAAGTTAACGAGTCCCCGGTTCTTTCATATTACTATTAATCTGTAATGGTATGACAGATTAACAACAGTAATATGAAAGATTAGGGTGAATATGCTCGTGTCTTTATTGTTTTTCATGACCAAAGTTTTACGTATAATGGACTTAATAATGATGGTTTTGAGTGCTTCCGTGGAGAGAATTGTTACAGATTCGATCTCTCAAATATACATTAAAACTAAAAGATCCTTTAATTCAGCACTGGTGGCGGTGATCTATGCCCACCATCACCACCACCACCGCCATCATCGGCACCATAGACATCATCACCACCACCACCGTCATCATCGACATCATGGACACCACCACCATCACCACCACCGTCATCATCGTCATCACAGACATCATCACCATAGACACCATCGCCATGGAGGACACCATCACCACCACCACCATCATCACCATCACTATCACAGCAGCGGCAGCAGCGGCGGTAGCAGCAGTAGCAGCAGCAGTGAGAGCGAGAGCTCCAGCAGCAGCGAGGAGATCATCATCCACCACCATCACTCCTCCGGCGGGTCTTCTTCCTCAGGGTCATCCGGTTCTTCTGGCTGCTCCAGCTGCGGAGGGTCATCTGAGTCGTCATCGTCTTCATCCGAGGACTACCCCATCCCCATCCCTGTTCCCATCTCCCACGGCGGCGGCAGTCACAGCCACACCAACTACCTCCCCATCATCCTCACTACAACCGGATAATATGTTCTCGTAAGTTGTGTAAATGAAGTAGTGGGTAAAGGGTTAGATGGTGTATGACTTATTGTTCTATCATCTAAAGGTATTTGCTGGTGAATATCATTAGTAATGAAGGAAAACTGTAATCAGAGTGGCACTAATAATTGATGAAATCATGACTTCATGAAATGAGTGAGTGAGTGAGTTGGGTTTAACGCCGCTTTTAACAGTATTCCAGTTATATCGCGGCGTGTCAGCTTAATGTGGGTGGAAAGCCCGAAGTGATGCAGGCCTCAGACGTTTACCACTTCGGTGAAACCCACGAGCACGGGTATGGTGCTGACAAATCTAGAAACATAATCGGGGTGAACCGGGATTCGAACCCACAATCATAGGTTTCTGGCATGCCCAAGGGACGCAACTCTGCACAGCGAATCGCGGCGCCTTAGACGACTGGGCCACCCGTGCCCCTAATGAAATGGAGCCTTGGTATTTACACTTCACGATGTTACAGGCATAGGCATTTTGAATTTAGTATTTATATATCTCTCTCCCTTTCAGGAACAGTTACCTCACATGGGAATGTTGCGGGCAACACACTGCCAGACAGCTGGGAGATCCATGTACATGATGTTCTATATACATCAGTAACAATAATTGTTGTATTAAAATGTTATTTTGGTTGTGGAAAAAATAAAGAATGAAAGAATAGCAAATCATTTTTAGTTTTTCTCATTCAACTTTCTACACAATTGCTCCCTAGACTTTCATCGTAACTCTCCGATGAGACGTCAATAGGAATCTTCTGTCACACAACGTGAAGAATGTTCATGAGCTACACGACGTGGTTGTTTCCAAGCCAATCGTGTGCGGCAACGTAAAAGTATAATTCGGTATGCCGATTGCTCTTGGCGCAACACAATTATCAAGGGGGGCGGTCGGGTAGCCTAGTGGTTTAAGCCTTCGCTCGTCACGCCGAAGACCCGGGTTCGATTCCCGACATGGGTACAATGTGTGAAGCCCATTTCTTGTGTCCCCCGCCGTGATATTGCTGGAATATTGCTAAAAGCGGCGTAAAACCATACTCACTCACTCAATTATCAAGGTCAGTGAATTAACGTGCCTTTAAGTTACTCTGAGAGCTGCCTCGGAAGTAAGCACTCCGCATTCATCATCTCGCCAGCTTGGAATGAATTTTACGATTTTAAATCTTTCCGTGGGTCATACACCACTCCAAACTGTGTCCTGATGCAATAGACCGCCTCCGTGGTCTAGTGGTAGAGCGTCCGCCCGGAGAGCGTAAGGTCCGGGGTTTGATCCCCGGCCGCGTCTAACCAAAAGACGTTAAAAGATGGTACTTGTTGTTACCCTGTCTGCCGCTCAGCATTAAGCTATAACAAGGACTGGTCGGCTCGGAGTCAGTATACTGTGTCTGAGTTGGGTATTCATGTTAAACTGCGGCATGGTATCTCAGTGAGCTAGCAGTATAAATCGGCATCAGTCCGGACTAGTACAAGCAGCCACACAAACATAACACGTACATGCACGTCGCCAAATAAGTGCAATAATCTTGGACGCGACGTTAAACCCAATTTTACCTCACCTCACCTCCTGATGCAATAACTCTTTACATAATAGTATGCCTTTGCATAATACATCAAGGTCATGAATGGTGTAGATATGGCTTATCTACTGTTTGGAACATAGACTGCATGGTTCACGTTCAAAGAGCAACCTTTATTGTAGAGATGCTGTCGTTGTCACGTCTTATATATTACCGTTAATCCCCCAAAGAGGACTTTGGATTAATAAGCTTTGCAAAGCCAATTACCCTTTTTCGAGATTTATTCGAAACAATTTTAAACCGTTTAGGCCGAGTTATGTGATTTACAAAAGATATAAAATGCAACGAATTCAACCCCAATTCCAGCACATGATTGGCTTGTTTTACCGGGTTTGGGGGTCCAACCTATTACTTGTAATGGAGGAATTACGGTAAACGGTATAACGGTAGTCAGTGCACTGCGTTTTCTTTGTGGAACAAGACTCCGAATAAGGACGCCGTGAAAGGTACGTGATCAATGTATGACAAACTGTCGAACGTGTTTTTGTGAACTTATTGCTGTACAAAACTGCAAAAGAATAGCTGGTTTCCCAAATTGGCCTTTGGTTTTTGATGAAGGAATGGATATTGTGGAGGGGAAACCACTATTTTACAAAACACAGAGACGGCGGTCTAGCCTAGTCGTTAAAGCATTCTCTCATCACGCCGAAGCCAAGGGTCGATTCCCAAATTGGGTATAATGTGTGAAGCCTATTCTGGTGGCCTCCACCGTGATATTGCTGGAATATTGCGAAAAGCGACGTAAAACCATACTCACGCACTCACTACACCAACTAAACTGACGTCCAAAAGAAACTTTACCAGAGCTTGAAATCACTCTTGCTCAAAAAGATCAAAACATACATGCATGGAGTAAAGTGTATTGAGTAGATCAATATATCAACATAATCAACACTGAAAATGGCAATCATACCGCGACCGAGAATGACGTCAGAACCCCCCAAAGTTGGGTGTGGTACAAGAATCGAGCTTTCAGAATTATGGACAATAGGCAGAGTACATGAATAATCGCTCACTTCAATTACAAGTCATTAGTAGCGTATGTGACCACCAAATGCCTCAATACACGCAAAAACTCTTCGACGCACAGAAAAAGTCAGTCGTCTGATGAGGTCACGTGGGATTTGTCGCCATTCTTCTTGGAGGGCCAAGATCAGTTCTTGCCGGTTGGCTGGAGAGTGTGGTCGTTGTCGAACACGACGATCCATCAAGTCCCAGAGGTGTTCTAGGGGGGACATGCCGGGTGAGCGTGCAGGCCACGGCAGAACGTTGACGTTGTTGGCTGCGAGGAAGTTAGTGACAATTCTGGCTGTATGGGCTCTAGCGTTGTCATGCTGATAAATGACACCACGTGGCTGCTGTTGGAGAAATGGTAGGACAACTGGACGAAGAATGTTATCCATGTAACGCTGAGCTGTCAAGTTTCCGTCAACGATGACCAGCGGTGTCCTCTCCTGCCCACAGATCCCTCCCCACACCATGACAATCCCTCTACCATAAGGTACGACCTCCTGCACGCAACGCGCCGCCGTTCGTTCACCCCTTCGGCAGTAAACACGTTGTCTTCCATCAGCCCTAAACATACAGAATCGACTTTCGTCAGTGAAGACACCCCTCTGCCAGTCACGTCGTTGCCAACGTCGTACAGTCCGGGCCCATCTCAATCGCAGACGACGATGTTGCGCTGTCAATAGCTGTCCTCTGTATGGTCTAAAAGCCCTGATTCCATGAGCCCTGAGTCTCCTGGGCACTGTCTGTCGACTAACTCTGTGACCTAAGGCATTTCTCGGCGATGACGTCACTGTCAGGAAGCGATTTCGGAGGTGCAAGGTACGCAAGTACCGGTCATCATGGGGCGTGGTCACCCTGGGTCTGCCTGTTCTTGGCCTGTCAGCGGTCCGCCCTGTCTGTCTGTAACGTTGCATCAAGTTGGTAACGGCAACACGGGAGCAACCGAAGGTTCGTGCAATATGGGCGTGGGTGGCTCCCATCTGCACCATACCCAAGGCTCGTTCACGTTGTTCGACTGTGAGTCGTGGCATTTCTTTTGTGTTTTTTTTATCACTGTGGATGTCTGACTTGCCGTTGCAATCGTTTTATACCCTTACCCGCACGTGCATTTGCAGTTGTCCGTGGTGCACGTGTGTCCACTCAGACACAGTATACTGACTCCGAGCCGACCAGTCCCATTTTAGCCCCTTAATGCCTAGCGCCAGACGGGGTAACAACAAGTACCTTTTAACGTTTTTTGGTATGTCGCGACTGGGGATCTACCTGTGGACCACGGAGGCGGTCTTACTGGTAAATGAAGAATTAATCATAATCAAGAGATATTCAATTGGTTCGATGCACAAACGAACATACTGGTATGTTGTGTGAACCGACGCTCATGAACAATTCACATGTGACGTCAAAGGTCCATGACTCGAGATGCACCTTTTGTCTCGTGAAGGATTAGCATGTAAAGCCCTTTTTTTTAAATCACGTGCTGCAGTGTGTGTGTGAACAGATGTTGAGATCCAAGTGACTCAACATTAGATCTCGAGTTGATATGTGTCCACCTCCAATTCAGAGTTGTGTCCCTTAACAAGAAGAGGCTTGGCTAAATTGGTGTCCGTTTCTAGGTCGGCAAATCCAACGTTATTAATAAAATAAATGGTGTGGCAGATGAAGAGTAAAGATGCAATAAAACAAGTTAGAATTGCAGGGAGCGGCTCAGGTATATGATTGTATTCATCCGTGTTAATGACAAACTTGAGAATTGCCTTTTGAACAGATCCACGTAAAATATTTAGCCCCAAAGTCATCCCTATTGTCATACAGTTTTGTGAATAGTTCTTTGTCAATCTGACTCTTTATGCATAGATCTAAATATGAAACGGAGAGAGAGAGTATGGTTTTACGCCGCTTTTAGCAATATTCCAGCAATATCACGGCGGGGGACACCAGATATGGGCTTCACACATTGTACACATGTCGCGAATCGAACCAGGGTCTTCGGCTCCTAGGCTACCCTACCGCTCCGAACCTCTTAAGACAGAGACGTAACTGTACATGTTTATATTGTCACCACGTTCAGTGACAAATTCTCATTGACCAAGGAAAGTAGTTTTTCCTTAGGTCTGTCAGGAGAGACAGTGGTTTACAAAGTTGAAACCTCTTTTACGTTGAAAAGTAATTATGGGTACACATTAGCCCGACTTATATACATATTTATATCCTGGATATCTTAAAGTCGAGATGTTTAAAAAGGCAAGTCGATAAAAGTTGTATTCGTTTTATAAAATCAATACATAATGCTTTCATACAATGACTTTCAAAAAGATTAATTTTAAAATATTCATGGAGAGTTCTATGAAGGATAGCAGCCATTATGTTTGCCTTGTGGCACATGTCTTCACTCAATCTAGCTGACGTGTAATATTGATATTTTCGATGAATACGGTGAATAAGTTGTGAATGATCTTAGACAAATCGGACTACTCTTCATTTAACAGATACATGTTAGTTTTATAAAGTTTAACACTTTTTGTCTCAATCAAAAGTAAGAAGGGCTTAAGATTTTCAATAGTTTTAATTAAGCTTTTATAATATTTACAACAAAAAATTGTAAATGAATTGAAATGCGATCACAATATTTAATGTTAGTTTTATAAAGTTTAACACTTTTTGTCTCAATCAAAAGTAAGAAGGGCTTATTATTTTCAATATTTTTAATTAAGCTTTTTTGATATTTACAACTCTTACAAAATGTAAATTGACTGATATGCGATCACAATATTTAATATTAATTTTTAATTAGTTATATATGAATATTTATTGTTTTGAAACGGGTTTGTTATTTTAAGAACATAAAAACATGCATCACCTCTTACTTCATATCAAATGGATATTACACTGAATTAAGTTTTGGAAGGTCAAAATATAGAGCAATTCAATGGGAAAACATGTTGCAGTCAGCTATGCCGTGAAGTGAATTCAAATAAGCGCACGTATGTGGTTTTGAATGTCTCAACGTGCATGCCCCTGTATGTATTAACGACTACCATTCACTTACATGCCCTACATGCCTGGTTTAAGGTCAAAATGACGATACGATTTTGTACATGATCACATATCGGATCTTTTGTGAGCAAAGGACGTTATTTATTGTTTGTCATCTTTTCGCACATGATATTGATCGATAGGGTGACGAGTCTTACGGAAAGGGGCGAGTGTAGCCGAATTAACTTGTTCATTTCCGTACCCGACTGTTCCCGGAATGACAAACGCTATCACAATCGAGAATGTTCCTTCACAAAACCAGGTCACAGTTTCCGTCTCTAGAATGAGCTGCAGAATCTTACATTTTTCGCCGAATCAACAATGGCATAACACTCTGTAACCACATGGCACAAGTGTCCACGATCAGGCCAACGGGAGCTAATCGTGAAAAAGTTAAGAATACGGCTGCGAATGTGAGTGTTTTAGTTTAGTTCCTGCCAAACGTCACAATGACAAGCTTGGTGGGATACTGCGCCTGACTGGATGACGTGTGCTGCTACATACATCGGATGTATGCCTCATCCATCCATATGACGTGTTCGGTCACATATATAGGATCCAGCTCATTGCCGGTGAGTGACAACACCAGAATACGGGGGATGCAAGAGGAGAGGGGATGTACGAGGGGTAGGGGTTAGGAGAACACGGGGATGCACGAGGGGGATGGGGTGTGCGAGAACACGGGGATGCACGAGGGGGGAGGGGTGTACGAGAACACGGGGATGCACGAGTGGGGAGGGGGTGTACGAGAACACAGGGATGCACGAGTGGGAAGGGGGTGTACGAGAACACGGGGATGCACGAGTGGGGAGGGGGTGTACGAGAAAACGGGGATGCACGAGTGGGGAGAGGGGTGTACGAGAACACGGGGATGCACGAGGGGAGAGGGGTGTACGAGAACACGGGGATGCACGAGGGGAGAGGGGTGTGCGAGAACACGGGGATGCACGAGTGGGGAGGGGGTGTACGAGAACACGGGGATGCACGAGTGGGAAGGGGGTGTGCGAGAACACGGGATGCACGAGTGGGGAGGGGGTGTACGAGAACACGGGGATGCACGAGTGGGAGAGGGGTGTACGAGAACACGGGGATGCACGAGGAGGAGGGGGTGTGCGAGAACACGGGGATGCACGAGGGGAGAGGGGTGTACGAGAACACGGGGATGCACGAGGGGAGAGGGGTGTGCGAGAACACGGGGATGCACGAGTGGGGAGGGGGTGTACGAGAACACGGGGATGCACGAGTGGGAGGGGGTGTGCGAGAACACGGGGATGCACAAGGAAGCTCTGCCTGTCGTTTCATTTCACCGTACCAGTAATACACTAAGGCTGACATATCATCGGGCGTCTGTAATTAAGGATTGACTGTTGATTTGTTTTCCCGTTCATTGAGGTTTGATACGCATATTCACATAGTTTGCACTTCGGTTTTTCGATTCATACCTCAATGAACCGAAACAAATCCACAGTCAATCCTTATTATTAAATTCGACAACGAAAATATGTGTTATCTACAATAGTTAACCAAAATAAGTTATATATATCAGAGCAGACACAACTAACGAAATTGATAAACATTCCAGGTATACATACTGTTGCGTGACATAAATCAGGTGATTGTTTAAGTTATGCACATAACTTGACACGCCTACAAAGTCAGTAGCCAATCAACGGAGAGTAGAATCAAATCAAAGTTCATAGGACCTGTCAAACAAGGCAACAGGTGAAAAGAACTGCAACAGTCAGACTGTTACGAACCCGAACGGTTATGTCCGGGAGAAATTGGCTGTTTCAAATGACATGGTCAGTTACCGCCAGATTCAAACATTAGTTGCCTGAGAATGGGAAGACACGGTTGGAAAAAGAATGCTGTTTCATTCCTTCTCGGCCTTCGGTCTCAAAGGGTAGCTTGGACAATGAATATGTATGAATTTCGTTAAATGTCCCATGCATGACGATACACGCGAGCAGAAAGGGAATTCCCTCGACTGTAATATTGGGATTTCCCCGACATATTCCCCGGCTTCACTTTTTACATTCATTGGGAAATGAATGCAATAACACGTGCCCAATTCCATTAATCCGAATGCAGGAATTACAAATTAAAACTTACAACCGTAACCTCTCAATGTGTTGGATATACTACAGAAAAGCACATGATTCTGTACCTCACGAATGGATTTTGAGGTCACTGGAATGTATTGACCTCCCCGAATGACTACTTGTTTTATTTAAGTCTTTAATGATTTGCTGATCAACACAACTTGAGATGTATTCGTAGGGACAGGTGGTGACTTCGGAACCCATTTCTATTAGAAGAGGAATATTTCAGGGCGATTCTTTTAGCCCTTTGCTTTTCTGTTTATCACTGAATCCTTTAAGCTGTTTTTGCTCAGCAAAGAGGTAGGTTATCATCCGGGACCTCCTCAGCACAGATCCCCAACACCCCTAACCCACCTCCTTTACAAGGATGACCTTGAACTTATTGTTAATGGAGGATCCACACTCCAAAACATATTCTGCTTGTCGAGTCCTTTTCTAATGATATCGTTGGACTCGACAAATGCCACATTCTTCGTTTGAAACGTGGCAAGGTAGAAGAGGGAGGATCAGTCAGTTTACTTGGGGGAGGAGTTATTGACCATCTCGTGGAAGATGACGACTATACGTACTTGGGAATGCAGGTCAGAGACAAACTCCAGAATGCACATATCAAAGACAAACTTCGGGCAGAGTACAAATTTAGACTTAAGAAAACCTGGTGTTCAGAGCTGAACATACAGATTAAAGAACGGAAGTACATCCACCAAATCAGCGAGCCTGACCACCAGATCCCGTTTGTCGCCTCTTACGACAAGCATGGTCGCCTTTTTACGGCAAGCATTGGATGCTGAAGACCTATTCTAGCCCGGATCTTCACGGGTTGCAGGTCTTATAGTGTTTGACAAACTAACCTTGAATAATATTGAGGGGGGATCTGGAAGAATATAAGATCCTAACAAACCAAAGGGATGCAACTCTGCACAGCACTTTGCTGTGTTTTAGACGGCTGTGTCACCCGTAAGGCCAACCCAGGTAGATCATATCAAAAGTGTTATTGTCTTTTTGTACGCACGATAGTACAGGGAAACATGATTATTTACAAAAATATAATTTTCATTCTCATATTATTGAAAATAAACTTTGCATCATCAGGTCTTAAATCAGGTCAACAGTGCCTTTAAAAATGTTCCTGTGAACTATTGTGCTGTATTGTAAGATAAGTGCCTGCACATACTACCCCCCTTAAGCAACGTGGTCCTGTAGGATCTGTTGTAAAATCGTGGCACGTAATGTGAATTAATTTTTTTTATAAATTATGTGGAGAAGATCTATGAAAAAAGCAACATGAATATATTTTTTGAAATGTGAAATATGACCATGGCTTTATTCTATAATGTACAAGGTGCACAAAATATTTTGGAGCACCTTCAGTTCGGGTAAGATCAAGGCACGCCAGAAACCTATGATGTTGGGTTCGAATCTCGATTCGCCCGATTATGTTTCTAGGTTTGTCAGCTCGTAGGTTTCACCGAAGTGGTAAACGTCTAAAATCTGGTTCACTTCGGGCTTTCCTCCTACATTAAGCTGACACGCCGTGATATAACTGGAATACTGTTAAAAGCGACGATAAACCCAACTCACTCACTCACTCCAAACTTGTGAAGCGTTGTCTTTAATAACTTGTATAATACAGTTCCACGAGGGGTACGACAAACACTGGCTACAGGGGACCCATTTTAACCCGGAATCTCCAGGGGACTTAGTTAATTGAATATGGCAGAGATTTAAAATATGTAAGGTCTCAAAGCATAGAAGTGCAATAAAATCTGAAAGATCTCTTTTCCCGTATCAGCGGGCATCTCATCTTAAGTTACTTGAAAGAAATTGGTCTGTATAATAAATTTTAAATACATATGTGAATAATTTAATGCTTGTTGTTACATTTGGTGGGATGATTTTACCAACTGATATTATTGAAGGCTCTGGTACAGGAGGTTGAAGTACCGTAAAATGATTGTCCCCCTGTGTGACACGTAATCCTATCATAATCGATGCAACTATCATCAACCAGTGTTTTAAGCCAACTCAGTGCTGAGTATTTTTGTAATATTGGCTAGCATTGTTCACAACCACCAGTAGCTAAATTTATGACGTAAATCCTGCTGGGGTATCATGCAGGAAGCAGAGGTACTGTAAGTCCCCATGATCCCCAGCGAGATGGCCTACCTTTGGTTACTGGTGGCCTATAGCACGTGTTTTAAACTGTTTTAAGGATATTGTTATGTATATTTGATAAAATGTGTTTTTGAATATATATTTGCATTGATGGCTCACTTGTGAAAATATCAACTTTGTCTCGTCGCTTTATGGCTGAAATAGTGCCGATGCGACGTTAAATTTTAGCTCACTCACTCACTCACTAGGAGTGCAATAAGTTGAAAACATTAACAGACGTGCTTAACATGCAAGTAGGACCTCGTAAATCATCACTGTCTATGTGAAGTCACGAAAACCATATACACTGTGCAGTGATCCCCGGCTTTGCGTGTAGAGCACCTGTGAAGATCCCGGGGGGGAACTGTGGTTCTCCAGCAACCAATGGTTCTCGTAAGAGGTAAGTACAACTGTACAGGTCGGGTGGTCAGGCTCGTTACATATGAAGCTCTAGAAGAACGTTACAGTGTGTATGAAGTATTCTCTCTAACATGATGCAGCTGGAGAGAGTTATATGAGGTGAGGTGAAATGGCGTTAAACGTCGCGTTCAGGATTAATGCACTTTCATAGCGACGTGCATGCATTTTCGTTTGTGCGTGCGTGCGTGTGTGTGTGTGTGTGTGTGTGTGTGTACTTGTAAGGATTAATGTATGTTGTAAGGATTGATGTGTGTTGTACCACCCCACTGATATACCTTGCCGTCTTACATAAATAGCCCCACTCAGTATTCTGACTCCGGGCCGACCTGTCCTCGTTTTATGGCCATGCGCCCTTTTGTTTAAGGGTGTTTCCACTCAGTAAAGACAATTTAATTCTGTCAGTCTACAGTGGGAGGAAAATGATTGGTGCTCACAGATCAAACATCACAAAGGGTACTTGCGGGATTCGAACTTATGGCGAACCTGGCATAGCACGGATACGTGATAGGACTTTTCACATGTTCAAAGCATTAAGCCACCAGGCCACCACGCTCCCTGATACTGAAACCTCCGGGAAATGACCGGTCGGTGAAAGATTTGAGACGTGTGTAGCTGAAGGGTACGTTTTACACCGACTTGATCACACTGTTGAGTTTATTGGCCTTCGTCATAAGACGGTCGGCCCATGATTCGCACTGACGGTTGGGCAGTTATTCGTTCGCAAACACCTTAGGGGATGGGAAAAGATATATTGTTCAAGGGAAAAAAACGGAAAAAGCATTTTGACTAAGGTATACTTGATTATGTTCACTGATTGTCTTAAAACAACATCTGCTATTATTCCTAAAAAGTTAGAAATTTTAAGTCTTGAGTGAGTGAGTGAGTTGGGTTTAACG